TTTAACATTAACATGATTAACTTTAATAAGGTACAATTAACTAAAAACGTGTATATATATATATATATATATATATATATATATATATATATATATATATATATATATATATATATATATATATATATATATATATATATAATACAGTATATTACATATAGTATATTACATATACTTTTTTACAGTGTAGACTATATATTGATAGTTATGTTTTTTTATTTATTTATTTGTTATTATTTTTTTACATTGGAAGCATTTTGTAGCATGTTCACCATGTTGCTAGCATGTTAATGCACATTACCTGCTTTAACACATTGCTGCTTTTTGTGGCAATGTGTAGCATGTTACTAACATGTTTACCACTTTGTTAGCATTTTGCTTTGTTATGATTTAACACAAACAGTAGCATGCATTTTTACTATATTGCTAACAAAACCTATAGGCTAGGCTATGTTTTAGTTGAAGAATTAAAAAACTTACATTTATCAGTTTAGAAATATTAGATGCAATGTTTCAGGGAGTTAAAATTTTAATGTTTGACAGCTGGAGTGTGCTAGGCTGCTAGCTAAGCCACATTTGAGCATTACACAAATCAATGGGAATCCTTTAATTTTTCATCACCCTTTTTTTTTTTTAGAAAAACCCAAAAAGAAATATAGAAAACCAAATTCGAACAGTTTGATGGACCAGAGTCATTCATATTTCAGTTTCTTAAACCAGCATTTGTATGACTTTTTGCATGTTGCACAAATAAGAATATTTATTTATTACTTATATTAGGCGAGCGGAACAATTACAGCAAATTTTGAACTAATTTAGAAAACTTTAAGCCTAAAGCTCTGAAGTAGTACTGGAATATTGTGCAAACATGTTGTTGCTTTTGGTAATAAACATGTTGCAGTATGGTTACTTGGATATTCTGGAAGATTGCGAACTGGGACAACTCACTTCTTTCCAGAAAGTTCCATGATCTGATGTATCATCTCTGTAGCACAAATATAAGGAAAATTATTCGGTGTAATTTTTCATGTAGTGTATTGTTGAATACTACAGCAAATCTACGTAATATGCATCTTGGTGTTAACTTCTGTGTCAACAAATGTATAGTGGGATACTTGATGTACTAACTTAAACATTAAAACATGCAACTGACCCACATTTTGACTGGCCTAAAACATGCTGTCACTGTCATGCAGTGGCGCCCCTAGAAAATTTTCTTAGGGGTGGCCAGAAGAGGCCGCACCAAATCTTGGGGTGGCACACAAAAAAAAATAATGAATTCAGTGTAATGTTATATTTTTGTTTCTGGGAAACGAAATAATGTAGTTTTATTCATTTAATTAATTCTACTTGAAATATTGCAATTTATTCTTTGAAATAATTCAGCAAGTACATGTGCAAACCAAATAAAAATCTATGTTTAGTTTAAAAACACTTTTCATATACTGTATAAATGACTTCTTTTTTTACGTGCCTTTATTGTACATCATACGAGATATGCCATGTCTAAAATTAATGAAGATTAATGAGTTTATTATTCCCAGTGATGGGTTGCAGCTGGAAGGGCATCCGCTGTGTAAAAATGTGCTAGATAAGTTGGCGGTTCATTCTGCTGTGGTGACCCTGGATTAATAAAGGGACTAAGCCGAAAAGAAAATGAATGAAAGAATAATGAGTTTATTAATTACCCAAACAAATGAACAAACTGAACAAAAGGCATTACTATACACACTCACTATACCTAATAATATTATTTATCCATATTGCTTTTTGAACCATTTTATTAATGCAGCTTCTTCTATTGATATACTGTAGCTTAAGGTAAATATTAAATAGCCATTGCTGTCTATTGAAGGTGTGTGCGTGCTGTCAAGGACGATCGGGGAGGGTAGTGGTGGTTCTAGTTTAAATGACACCCTGGGCGAACCACCCTATACACCCCCACCTCTCTTGAATTGTTAGATTTGTTATTCAATAAATATAACAATTTATTTATATTTATTCTAAATAAATACAATTAATATTAATATACAATTATTATTCTAAATAAATAACAGAAATCAGTCCTAAATATTACTGGAAAACAACAACTGGAGTGATATGCCAACATCACTTAAGAAACCTTTTGCATGAAAATTAATTATGACAATTCTAAAGAATACAAAAAATGTATTATAGAATTATCTGTGGTCTTAGAGCAGATCATGGCTGAGAAATCATGTTATGAAGTCTTACCTCCCTGACTCATTATCCCTCCTTTCTGCTTTAAAGGCATGCTTAGTGAAAGTAACATCATCATCATCATCATCATCATCATTGGTCGATGAATTTGCTCTTCAGTGTTTGAACTCTCAGTAATGATTAAATCACACTGAACTGAGCTAAACTGAACTGAACTTAAACACTAAAAACTGAACTACACTGTTCCAGTTACTGAACCACACTGTTCCAGTTACTATGACCATTTATGTGAAGCTGCTTTGACACAATCTACATTGTAAAAGCGCTATACAAATAAAGCTGAATTGAATTGAATCATTATATTATATAAACTTTAAACGACTTTCAAAACTCGCTGCGTGCCGACACTTCTGCACAAAAGGCTGTTACTCCGGTTTCACGGCGCATGAGCGGTGCCTATTATGTCGGCGTGCATGCAAACAACCAACCGGGATTCACACAAGAGTGCGTGAGGCGCGCGGGAATGGTTTTCCGCGCGCATGCGTCAGTTTGCTTTCACCAGCATTGAACCAGAGGGGGAGAGCTACGTCAGTAACACCAACAATAATTTAGTGACTGCATTTTATTTATTTGTTTATGTATTTATTTATTTATCTAAATATTGGGAATTTATAAGTTCATTTAAATCAATAATGTCAACCGCAAAATTATATTGGGGTGGCCAAAGGGGTGGCCACAGGGGTGGCCAGAGTTTACCGAGGGGTGGCCGTGGCCACCCCTGGCCACCCCTTGGAGGCGCCCCTGCTGTCATGCATATATGGAAAAGCCACACTTTATTTAGTATATTCTGCTATATCTAATCAGGCCAGAAAAGAACACTAGAAAAGTGAGAAGATCATAAAACTGGCTACTGCATGATTTAATTGTCCATTATAAGTCTTTTACAGGAGCACACGGTGGCTCAGTGGTTAGCACTGTTGCCTTACAGCAAGAATGTCACTGGTTCAAGTCCCAGCTGGGTCAGTTTCTGTGTGAAGTTTTCATGGTTTCCTCCTGTTCGCATGGGTTTTTTCCAGGTGCTCTGGTTTCCCCCTCAGTCCAAAGACATGCTGTACAGGTGAATTGAATAAACTAAATTAGTGTGGGAATGAGTGTGCATGGATGTTACCAAGTCAAGTACTGGCTTGCAGCTGGAAGAGCATCCGCTGAGTAAAAATTATATGCTGGATAAATTGGCGGTTTAATCCCCTGTATCGACCCCTGATGACTAAAGGGACTAAGTCGAAGGAAAATGAATGAATGAAGTCTTCCACATTAAAGGGGTAGTTCACCTAAAATTTAAAATTCTGGTTACATTTACTCACCCATGTTTTTTTTTTTTTTTTAAGTTTTTTATTGTTCTAAAAATTTTTCAAATCTGTAACCATTAACTTTTATAGCAGAAAAAAGAAATATAGAATTTTTATTTTGGGTGAACTATTTTTTTTAAGTTTTAGCTTTAATCAATCCATAATACCCCCCCCCCCCCCCCCCTTATTATAAGCAGTTCCCCACAAAAAAAACAAAAAAAAAAAAACTACCTGCTAAGTGAAAACATTCAATGGGCTGACTTTATTCACTCAGTAATTCCACATATAACTACTAAGAGAATCAATAGTTATTTGGCACCAATCATAAAACTCAGCCTTGCTGCCCTCCGGAGGACACACAAGAAGTGTGCATGCAAAACACATTCTTTTTTTTTTCTTTTTTTTACTGGCCACTTCATTGGACCCTCTCTTACCTTTAGAACTGCTTTAGTTGTTTGTGGCACAGTTTCAACAAGGTTCTGGAAAGATTCCTCAGAGATCTCAGTCAATATTGAGATGACAGCATCAGGCAGTGCAGATTTGTTGTCTGCACATCCATAATGTTAGTCCCCTATCCCACAGGTACTCTAATGGATTGAGATCTAGTGACTGGAGGTAATTTGAATAAAGTGAACTCCCTGTCTTAAGAAACCAGTTTGATTTGATTTAATGTTTGTGACAAGCATTATCCTGCTGGAAGAAGCCATCATACAATTAATAAGCTTAGGTCACAATAGGATAGACATGGTCAGCAACAGTACTCACAAAACCCAGCAATGCTTTCGATTTTTAGTTTTGTTTCTAGTCCAAATATTTACAAATTATTAAATCAAGAAGCATTTTTTAGACAAGCCAAAAAAGAAAAGATAGTTTTCACAAAAAATAAGTTTTTCCTTAAAGTAGGCAAAATAATCTGCAAATTGTGCAAGCAAAAAAAGCTTATCAAAGCGAAAACAAGATTATTTTTCTTACCTCATTGGCAGATTATTTTGTTTTTTTAAAGAAAAAAACTCACTTTATTTCGACTTATTATTTCTGAAAACTGGCAAATGCACCTTGATTTAAAATCTGTAGATATCTGAACTAAACACAAGACAAAAACTCCAAAGTATTTTTTTTGCAGTGAATAAAATATCTCCCACATGATTACATAAGAAGCAGATGGATTCATGCTTTCATGGTACTTTATGCCAAATTGTGATCCTATTATCTGTACTTTACATCAAAAACCAAAATAATATATATGTACATACAAAAGATGGTTACACATTGAAATAATAGCCAACATAGTAATCACAACAAGGCGAGCCATTTTTTAATCATCTTTTGTCCAGTTTTGGTTAAAATGCATGATGCAATCCCAGCATACTACATGGAAATCCCAGCTGTCTGCTTTCAACAACATAAATGAATAAAGTGGTGAGTGAATGGAGGATGAGTTAAGTCATGTGCAAAAGTCAAAAACAAATCTTTGTTTAAAAAACAGGGTTTAATTGAGGCTGAATAAAATCTTTACAAATACTTTTGTAAGTGACTTTACAGAAGTCATTCAGAATTGAGTTGTTAAAATTGAACCCCATCCCTAACCTCTTAATACACTTAACAAAAACAATACAGAGATCAACACCTTTTCAAATTTCAAATACAAAAATATCTCAGAATCCTCACATTTTTTGTTTTCAGTCTGAATGTTGGCACGTTGCAGACTATCGGGGAGGGAATCCACGATGTGGGCCTCCACGGCCTCTGAATCCCCCTCGATCCCCACGGAAGTTTGGCCGATTTCTCTCTCGACCCCGATCACCTCGGCCCGCAGCGGGACCACCCCGTCCTCCTCGCGGTGCACCCCCACCCCTTTCTGCCATAGATTTAGGAGGTGGGGATTTGGGGCGGAGTCTCTCGATTTCTTCAGTACAACCAGACAAGTAAGAGTTGGGCTCGCTGAAGTGGGTGGAGTAAACTTCGATGTTGAAGTTGCTATTGGTCAGAGTGGGACCCACAGTCAGCCATCCTTAAATGAAATAAACCATAACATTTTACATCATATAACATTTACACAAGAACTGAACACATTTGGTGGAAATATTTATATTAATTATTTATTTTTGCATTAATAAAATTTAATGAAATACTTTTTATTGTTGGAACTCTGTTCATCACATACTCGTCACAAAATGAAGCAAATTAGAATTATGAAGGATCATAAAGACTGGAGTAGTGCCTGCTGAAATTTCAACTTTGAATGATAGAAATACAATAAACTGTAAAGCATATCAGTCAATATTTAAAATGGATCAAAACTTTTCAGCAAAAGTGTCCTAAACGCAAAATGTGTACTGAACATTGCCAATATTTTTACAATAATATTAATATTATTTATCATTTTTAAATACATTTAATTATATATTTATTATACAATAACGATCTTTGATCCTCCTTAAATGTTGACTACTGCATATTCACATAGGAAACAGTTATTTTAAATTGTAATATTTCATGTTACCGTTTAATGAATTTTAGTTTAAAAAAAAAACTTCTGGCTCTAATCTATTAACTGTAGTGATTAAAAATATAATTTATAATTTACTAAAATATCATTAAAAGTACTGTCTTTTCAAGCCATATTATGTTGTTACTTTTAAAACAATACACTAATTTCACAACTAACATCGTTGAGGAATGCTATGCACAATTTATAGAAATATACATCTATAATATCTGTAAATATTTAACCTGGCCTGATAGTGCTGTCTCTGCCAAACAGGTGCAGCCGTCGACGACCCAGGCAGAAATGCTCAATGATGTGGAAAATCTCCACTGGCTTCTCAATATTGCCCATCTCTGGCTCCTCTGTAATGATCAGGTCAATATCCACATTAGCGTGAATGAAATCGCCATCTGTGCTGCGTCTAACAGTGCCTTTGATACCCATCAGGCAGTGCTCCTGAGTGTAAACACACAAAAAAGAGATGTCAAAAAAAAAGTGTTTACTACAGGAAAGCATCATTATGAATAAGTGAGATTACAATGTTGTGCTTTGCCTATGACTCTATATATTATAGACAATAACTTTTACCTTAGTTCTCTGGAACACTGCTTTAGGGTCCAGTGTTTTGGTTTTGCCAGGGTTGTTTTTGTTGGTCTTGATCCAACATATGTCCTCACATCGCCTGAAGCCCCATTTTCTCAGACACTGAGAGAGAAAGAAGAATGAAAGATGTTTAAATATGTTTGAATAAAGAATATTTGGCAATGATGTAAAAGCAGCATATTTGTATGTGGGCAGGTTATTATGTGTACATCATATTTGAGATAAGTTTAGGTTTATGCACATGGAACAGAAATCTGCCATGTCAAGTTTGTATATTTGTGAGATTTGTACCATTCGGCCAAGATCAAGGCCTTCTCCTGAGCCACACCACAAGAATACAAAAGAGCGAATGGATGAGATTTCCTCTATGTTCAGCTTCATGATCTAAAGCACACATGAATACAAAAATAAGTTATTATATATGTTAGGACATCTTACATTATTATATTATATGAGCATAAAATATATAATAACTGTTATCTAAATGGATAGTTCATCTAAAAATGAAAATTCTCACCATTTAGTCAGACTCAAATGGTTGTAAATTGTTATCAATGTCTTTCTTCTGTTGAACATAAAACTAGATAATCTGAAGAATGTTGGAAAATGCAGCCACTTACATCCATATTAGGAACAACAAAAACAACTAAAACAAACAAACAAAAAAACTATGAAAGTCAACGGCTGTTTTCCCCCAGCATTCCTCACTATATCTGCTTTTGTGTTTAACAGAAGAAATGAACTCAAACAGCTTTGGGACAAGTGGGGATGATAGAATTTTCATTTTTGAGTGTAGTCAAGTATATCTCTAATGTGTATTATAATACATAATTGAAATCAATTTTAAAAACATTCTCATGAGGTTGATTTTGAGAATTTGCAGTAACTCACATCGTCCCAGTTCCAAAAGCGCTCATTGGCAATGATGCCTGACTCTCTGTAATATTCCTCTAATGGAGGCTCTATCAGAATCACATCAAACTTGCACTTCAACTCTCTCAGATCAAACGTGTCTGGATCTGCCTGGAGATACCTGAAACGCACACAAACGCAAGAGTTATTACATTCATAAAAGCATTGAAAAAGACCCAATTGTCCCATAGTTAAATGCTTCTAATTATTATAAAAAATAACTGATTTTATTTGCTTAGCAACCTCAAAATCACTTTTGTTTTTAGTACGTTCAAATAAAATTCTAGAATCTAAATAAAACCCAGTGTTTTATACACAAATGTGAATAATTTTCAGGTTTCAAAAACTGCAAATGGGCACCACTGGCCGGTATGGGCCCTATGACATAGACTGAGACCAAGTTTTCTTACATGGGGGGAGTGTTGGTGGCAGAGATGAGTTCATCTTTCAGTCGAATGAGCTCTCTTTGTTTGGGGTATTCCTCAAACCTGTCAGCCAAACCTACAGCACATGAGAACACACAGGTTAACACACTCTCAAAGTGGAAAACTAAAAAGAAAAAGTAGAAAAACACTTTACCTCCATCTCGGATAAAGTTCTGAGGTCTATGACCTGTGTCCACAAAGTGCTGGCAATAATCATTGTGAGGATTTAAACTCTGAGTGCCCTGTGAAACAAGTAATGATATAATAAAAACATTACTTATGTTATTTTAGTAATATTTAGAGTGACTTTGCATAGACATAAACTATGCAACTGAAAAAGGAACCAGAAGAAATAAATCCCCTATGACATCTTATACTGATACATAATACAAAGGAATACAAAGGAAAGAATGCAGAAAGCAGAAAAAGCCAACAGGTAAATGAGACTATCTCTAGCTTTCTGTATGTATATACTGTATGTAACACTTGTTTCCCAAAAAAGCTCCAATAACTAAAACTGTTCCTAGTCCTTGCATTACAAACATGTCAAAAGCGAGAATTTCCTACATTAGTTCTAAGAACTATGAAACATACCTTAATTGCAAAACCCAATGCAGTTTACGTTTACTGTAAGGGACAGTTTTTCTGATGGAATGAAAGAATTTAAAGATCGTACTTTTCAAAAATTACCATGTTTTTGCCTTTAATGACAGTATATAGTGGTAACCGTTTTGTGAATATATGTCTGAGTATCCTCACAAAAATATCATAGCTTCTCATACCCGATTGCTCAATTAAATCATATACAATTGTGTTTAAAGATACCTTTAGAAATGTGCTGGAGTCCTTGTACACCTCTTCATATGGTCCACTCTCTTCCTGATGTTGAGGCTCAACATCTTCCTACACCATACAGCAGATTCAAAATCAGTTACACATAGCTCTGACCTGATCAAATGTAAGGGCTTTTCTGAATTAACAGCCGATTCCTGATCAGCGCTCTCTCACCTTTTGCTCTTCCACATCTTCCTCTGGATCTTCACCCTCATTCAGACACTTCCTTTTAGCACCAGGAACTGATATGTCAAATGATGCCCTACAGTAAACAAACCAAATGGTAACTGACCTCAGCATCGTTCTGATTAATACTGCTAGTAGCAGCATCACATACCCGTGCTGAATGTAAAGGTTGTCCTATCAGTACAGTTTTAGCTCTTTTGGGGTATATAGGTCTTAGTGTTCTTTATTTTTTAGTGCTGCACATAGTCCTTGAATTTAACAAATGGTTTATACCTGCAGGTCTCTCTAGTCTCTTCGATCTCTTTTTGTTCATCTTTACTGTTGAGAACTGCGCCGATGCTGTCGGGACTCTCTGCTCCGAGCTGTAAAACAAATCATTAGTCATAAAACATTCGCAATGCTTCTACGTTCATTGGCGTTAGTAATATAACACCGCGTTAATATGGCAGTGTTTGCTAAACTGGCTTTCTGCAGGAAGAAAAAAAGTTGTGTATTCGTACCTGTTGTGCGAGAAGCTGACGTCTGAGCTTCTGCCTTTCCCGTATTTCTTGCAAGCGGCTGTTCATGTCGAAAATGTTTTGCAGGAAAATAGCTAATCGTGAAATGATCAGATGACAACAATAGTGCGGCAAAAATCCATTGAAAACCTCAACGTGAGAAACCGTCGCATGTATTTTACATCATCACAATGCTTGACGCATACGGTGACGTCAGTAGACGGCCTCTTACTTTTATTTGGAGTAAAAACAACTAGCGTAAACAAAATGTAATAATGATTATCTTTGAATGATTTGACTGTCAGTGTTCCTTCAGCCATTAGTTTTTGGAGATCACAATTTCAAGACGTAAACTCGAACGAGACTTTTAAGATCTCCAGACGTTTTTGTATAACTGAAAAATTAGAGAGGTAACTTATTATTTAAAATTGTTAATCGTTTTTATCATGTAAAACAGGTAATTGCACAATTTTGTAAAGGTGTTGACTTAAAATGTGTTTTTTGTAACGATAAAGAAGAGAGTATTGTTCATTTATTTTATGATTGTATTTATACACTATTGTTTTGGTGTGATCTTTTCTTTTTTTGTTAAGCGGAGTACGAGTATTGCATTGGAATTAAAAGAAATGATGTTTAGTATGAGAATACAGCCGGCTTCAAAATTTGGTATAGTGTTTGCTCATTATATGTGGAATTTGTTTTATTCGTAAATGTAAATGGGCTGTGAAAAAACCTAATTTTACTCATTTTAAAATAGAAATAGGTCATTATATGTACGATATAAAAACAAAAAGTACTAAAACAAAAAGCACTGTTAATTATTTTAAAGCCTTAAATTTAGTCTTTGAATAATTGTATTTTTTCTTTTCTTTTAATATTGTATTTGTTTTGATCTATCCTTGCTGACTGAAAGTAACTGAAACCGATTTAAAAATATATTTTTAAATTAGCTATTATTCTATAATTAATATAATGTTTATAATTTCATAAATGAAAAGCATTGATTCTGGTTGCATTTTACTGACACAAGAGGGCAGAAGTGAACTTTTGGCTGTTGGTCATTGTGATTAGTTCTGAAAGCTTGAGCCGAAATTTTTACACTGTGTTGTCTCGGAGAGACCAACAGTGATGACCAGACCAGACTAGACGCCAAATTACTAATATAACGTGGCAGACTCTCGTTGAAGTTCACTCTGTGGGAAGATCGGCGCGCGCAGCTCGTGCGCTATCGTGGAATGATTTATTTAGCAATTAATATTTGCCTCGTAGATTCTTTTTCTATTGTTCTGCAACTTGTCACTATTAAATGAAGGACACTATTGATTTTTACCATCAACTGTTCTCTTTTTAAACTTGAAATCCAGACTGGGCGACGATCATCAATATGCATGAGTCATAAGCTCCGGGCTTCCCCGGTTTCTCTTTTATTGATCCGCGTCTGCTGCTCTGATAACTGCCAAACGACAAGATGAGAAAACTCGGGTACCATGTCTTATCCACGCAGACTGGAGAGTAATTGTCGGGTGTTAGGGTGACAGTCACGGACAGGTTGATCGTGATGGATGTGAGGTGTCGGTTCGTCTTTACGGTCTGCGCGCTTCTGCTTATGATCGCGCGCACTGGCGGCTCTCCGTTCACTGACTGTGTTCAGAGCAAAGGGAAAGCGGGCTTTTACGAGGGGTCCATTGACTCAACCGAATCAGGCGTGAAGTGCATGAACTGGAGCGATGTGCCCGGTGTTAGAGAGCGGTATCAAGGTAAAGGGCTCGGAGATCACACTTTCTGCCGAAATCCGGACGGGAGAATTCGGCCCTGGTGCTTCTTCACGAACAACAGAGGACGCATTGACTGGGGATACTGCGACTGCAAGCAGGGTATGTATGTATACAAAGAAAGTATCTAATTTTCAACAGTATTAGTTCATGCGAAAGCAATTTACCGCACTTCAAGTGTTTTTAATTTTTTTTACAAGAACTTCTCGCGCATTACCTATTTCCATAGATTACTTTAATGCTTACTATTACTTGAGACTTAAAACATTGTCATGTCAAAAAAGAAAAAAAAATACTGCAGTGCACACAACACATGCAAGCTAAGACATGTCCAAACTTCAATGCATCCACGCGTGGGAAAGGTATGCGCCTCAGGTAGCACTAAACGGAGAACAAAGCTATTGTTGTCATTTGGGTTTTTACTGTGAGACAGTAGTCTCCCACAGAATGTTGGTAATTTCATTTATTTGTTGCAATCATCGTAGCTCTTTTAGTAGTGTACGAGCGCGTTTTGAGCAGTGAACTCTCTCTGACAGATGCGCACGTGCTTATTTATTTCCGCCGGGCTTAGAAAGTGAGGAATCTAGTACCGTTTAATTTGACAGTGACTATTTTACAGCATGACTTGTGAGAGAAAAAAAAGTTTTAAGACCTGTGTAATGTACTGCACGACAGGCAATATCATCATTTTAACCCAGTGAATAAGGTAAGTTTATTTGTGGGCTAGTTTTAGCTGCATAAAAGCTAAATATTTCCACTTTTTGCTCTTGGAAAAAGATAATGGAACTCACTTTGACCCTTTTTGAAACCATTAACCTTAGTAGAGGCTGTGAGTGGGATAAGCAACTTCACATGTGAAAACTAGCCTCTTTAAACTAGCGTTTACCATGGCAAAATTTAGGAATGTGCATCTTCAAAGACAGAACTGTTAAACATGGTTTTACTACTACTACTACACAAACACACACATGCACAAGTACAAGCACACCATTATTATATTCAAACCGGTAACCATAAAATTAACCACTACCCTAACCATAGTATTAGTAAAACTGTGGCAATACAACTGCTAATAATCTACAAAGCTACACAACCAATTTTTCTAAAGGAGATTTGTCATTTTTTATCAGATAATTTCATAAGTATAATCACATGCAAACGATCATAAATAGTTTAATGATGTCATCATGTTTTATAATAGCGCTGGAAAGAGTACTTGGAATAGAGGTATAAAAATATAAGGTTGTGTAATAATATTGCCATATTTATTATTTGTGACATTTGTCTACAATTCTTTCAGTATTATTGCACGTGAACATCTTATCAGTGTCTTAAATGACCGGATAAGCTTATTTAAATATTTTGGTATTTAATCAGTTTATATTTCCAGCACATCTGCCGCTTCACATTTTCCAAACATTCTGTGAATGTTTTGAAGCGCTGAAATGTTTGAAGAACATGTGCTGCCATCATGTGTGCTTGTGTGCTGTGTGTGATTTATAACTGCTCTGAATGCAGCAGCTGGCCTGCACATATACTGAATGCAAACACTGGACACATGAAAAACTGTCACTTACACACTGGATGTATTTCAATACTAGTGTTGCTAATTTTGAAAAAAATATTAATAAATAAATACAATTATTTATTCATTAATTTTCCTCCAGCTTAGTCCCTTTATTCATCAGGGGTTGCCACAGCGGAATGAACCGCCAACTTATTCACCATATGTTTTATGCAGCGGATGCCCTTCCAGCTGCATTACTGGGAAACACTCATACACTCTCACACACACATACCGAGGTCACTATGGACAATTTAGCTTACCCAATTCACCTGTACCACATGTCTTTGGTTCATGGAGGAAACCGGAGGAAACCCAGGCAAACACAGGTAGAACAAGCAAACTCCACACAGAAACGCCAACTGACCCAGCCGGGGCTCGAACCAGCAACTTTCTTGCTGTGAGGCAACATTTCTAACCACTGAGTCACCATGTTGCCTAAAATTCATAACATGAAGAAATTGTGTTGAACTTAATATTTTTACAGTGTATTATTGCACTGATTGCACTTATTTACTCTAACTCAGTAACTGATGTCTGTGCAAGATTATTCACCATCAAATCTTATAAAGGAATATCTAAAGGCAATTCTTTTCTAATTATTGTGGTGTAAATCTAATATTATGTCCTGTTAGATTTCAGATATGTATTTCAAAAGCAAAGGACATAGCTTTTCTTATTTGTGCTCACTAGCGTTATAATAGACCTGATTGTACTGCTGTACTCAATAGCTTACATTGTTTTCATGCCATACATTATAGCTGAGTAATTCCCAACATCACATGCACAAACACACACATTTATTATACAACTGACAAGTGAAACTCATGTGGAGGTTAAAGCATTCCTCTGTCATCACATAAAGCAACTCAAAGATTAATGTTTTTGTGCTGCCTAACTGAGGGAACATTTGTAACGTGCACATTTATCAAAATTACAGAGACGAGCGGAACCAAATGTTAGCAGAACATTCACTTTTATTAGCAGCTTGAACAGTGAAGGTCAAAAGCACTCTCAAGTTTAATTCAGTAACTTTATGTGTGTGATCACAGGCTCTTTGCGACTGCAGGGAGGCAGATCTAAACTGGATGGTACAGTAGAAGTGTATCTCAATGGTGTGTGGGGAACCATCTGCAGTAATGGCTGGGATGACCAAGATGCCGCTGTGGTGTGTCGACAGCTGGGACAGGGGTAAGACACACATACATATATAAAATTGACAGTGTATAATGTTGTTTTGGTGTTTCTGCAATATATTTACCATGGGGCTTATCTGAATTACTTGCATTACAGTACATTTGCCAGAATATGTAGCATACACTCTGATGCAATCTGTTAGACTTGACCTGATTTTTAGCGTGATAAATGACGTTAACAATTTAAAGGGATAATTCACCACTAAATAAAAGTTATCTTATGTTTTTACACCAGTGTGTGGTTTTAAACCTTTATGAGTTTTTTTCATCTGTTGAACAAAAAAGATGAGGTTTCGGAGAATGCTGGTTGCTCAGACACATCAACAATGTCAATGGGTGCCCACTACCAGCATTCTTCAAATTATCTAATTTTGTGTTCAACAGAAGAAAGAAACTAAGTGTGGTTTATTTATAAACTCATTTCGAGGGGATTATGATTGATCACGGCTGGTCCCGCTTCAGCTTCACATATTGCGCCAATCAGATGAGTACTAGCTCACTATAAATAACTAGAGTTCCCCTTCGGTTGGGGAACTTCAGTGCCATGAATGGGAGGATTCGGATCAGAAGCCGCTTATCTGGAGAGTATTGAACGGGCCAATGAATGAAATTAATTGGCAGCGTAAGCTTGCGCAGGTGTGCGACATCTGCAATCATCTCAGCATATAAGCACACCTGAAGCCAGCAGACGCCATCCTTTTCGCTTCAGATCCTTTCTGAGTGAGTCGATGAGGGTTCCTCTTGCTGATCAGCACTTCAGAGCGAACGAGTGTGTCTCCCGGTCCAGAGTGGGTCTTCGCGGTGGCAGACGGTCGAGCTGGGTTACTCCCTTGCCTGCGGTTCTTTGGGTCCGGTCCTCCAGAGCGGTGCGTATAGTTGCAACTTTCCTAAAAGAGCAACACAGTCGTGCAGCACGTCCTTTTCAGGATGGCGCTCCGACTGTGCGTTTCTGGATGCGGGGGTTTCCTGTCTCCGGATGATGGACACGATCACTGCATTGCATGTTTGGGGGTCCAGCATGTTAATGCGGTGCTCGCGGGCGGTTCATGTCGTCATTGCGATGCCATGACCGTTGCACAGCTAAGATCGCGGCTAACTTTCGCAAGAGAGCGAGCCACCCCAGTTGCCTCCTGTTCTAAAAAAGCAGCGGGCGCTCGGGCAGATCTGAGGGTTTCAGCGGGAGCTAATCCGCCGCCCACGGGCTCGCGGACCTCTCGCTCCTCACGGCGCTCCATCCAAGCTTCGGGTGGTGAGAGTGATCCGTCTAACCAGATGGTAGCTCTCACACTCGCTGACACCGGAGATCAGATGTACTCCGCGGCATCGGAGGGTGGGCTTTCACTGTCCGACGAAGATCCGGACCCGCTCGCCCCCTCCGGGCAGGTGAGCGCTGTCAAATCGGATCCTGAAGCGGACATGTTAGCCGTGCTTTCCCGGGCTGCTTCGGCCGTGGGGTTGGAGATGGTTTATCCCCCAGCTCCGCGGCCGGACCGACTAGATGGGTGCTACGTAGAGGACCAGAAGGCGAAGCCTTCGAAGCCTCTCGTCCCCTTCTTCCCGGAAGTGCACAGTAGGCTCACGCAGTCCTGGAGGGCACCTTTCTCTGCCCGTGCTGCGAGTGCCTCCGCCCTCACCGCCCTTGACGGCGGAGCTGCCAGGGGGTATGAGGCGATCCCGTCAGTGGAGCGCGCTATCGCGGTCAATCTTTGTCCGCGCGGCGCCTCTACGTGGCGGGGTTTGCCCCGCCTCCCGTCCAAAGCCTGTAGGTTGTCTGCCTCCCTCGGAGCCAGAGCTTATAAGGCTGCGGGCCAGGCTGCTTCTGCTTTGCACGCGATGGCCACCTACCAGCGCTACCAAGCGCAGGCGCTGGCCGAGCTGCACGAGGGCGGGTCCAACCCAAGCTTATTACATGAGCTGCGCACCGCGACCGACTATGCTCTTCGGACTACTAAGTCCGCCGCGTGTGCGCTGGGGAGGACGATGTCCACACTTGTGGTTCAGGAACGCCACCTCTGGCTAAACCTGGCCGATATGCGCGACGTTGACAAAGTTCGCTTTCTTGACTCGCCCATATCCCAGGCTGGCCTGTTCGGCGACACCGTCGGTGAATTCACCCAGGAATTCAAGGCGGTGAAAGAGCAGTCGGATGCGATGGGCAATGTCATCTATCGGCGTGGCCGTAAGCCCGCTCCGCCCGCCGAGCCATCCACCTCCGCTGTTCCTCGCCGAGGGCGCCCGCCAACGAGTGCTGCCCCGCCCCCGCCTGCGCCTCCGGCCAAGCGGGCGCGGCGTTCACCTCGAAAGCAGGCAGCCCCTCCTGCCCAGGGCGCCGTTAAGTCCGGTAAACGGACCGCGAAGCGTCCCTGAGACAGGCCATCCGGAGAAGAGGAAACTTGCTCTTTCCCCGCTGGAGGGCGGGGCCCCGATAACAACGGTACTTTTCAGTGCCACCAAAACATCAGTAAAAGAGCACTTTTTCCCTTCCCCGGATGTGACTGCACGAGTTCTGCCAGTCCGGGACGCGCTGTCTTCCGGCTCGCAGACTCTACGTGCTTCGCCAGTGGCTCACGAGCGCTGGGGGGACGGTCTCCCTTCCCTCAGCCCTCCAGCCCCCTCTCCGGAGTCAGGGTGCGGAGCCAGAGCGAATCGCTCTCCTCCAGCTTTTCCGCGGGACCCTCGTGCTTCCCGGATCAGCACACCCACTCCGCGCTGCCCCACCGCTGGTACGTCAGCGATTGTAGCGATGACTCCATTAGCGAGGGCTCTGCCTGCCTGGTTAGCGCGGGCCAGCCCCTCGCGGTGGCTCATACGCACAATCAGACTCGGTTACGCGATTCAGTTCGCGAAACGGCCCCCCAAGTTTACGGGCGTGTATTTCTCCAGGGTCAACCCCCTCTCCGCCCCTGTCTTGCGAGAGGAGATTGCTGCCCTCCTGGCGAAGGGTGCAATCGAGCCGGTTCCTCCAGCCGAGATGGAGGGTGGGTTTTACAGCCCATACTTCATCGTACCCAAAAAGAGCGGTGGGTCACGGCCAATCCTAGATCTGCGCGTTTTGAACCGCTGTCTGCACAAGCTGCCGTTCAGAATGCTCACGCAGAGGCGCATTCTCCAATGCGTTCGTCCTCGGGATTGGTTTGCAGCCATAGACCTGAAGGACGCGTATTTCCATGTCTCCATTCTTCCACGCCACCGCCAATTTCTGCGGTTTGCGTTCGAGGGTCGAGCGTGGCAGTACAAGGTCCTCCCCTTCGGGCTCTCTCTGTCTCCGCGGGTCTTCACCAAACTCGCGGAGGGTGCCCTAGCGCCCCTTCGGCTCGCGGGCATTCGCATACTCAATTATCTCGACGACTGGCTGATTTTAGCCCACTCGCGGGAGCAATTGATTATGCACAGGGACGAGGTGCTTCGGCATCTCCGCCTACTGGGGCTTCAGGTCAACCGAGAAAAGAGCAAACTCGCCCCCGTGCAGAGGATTTCTTTTCTCGGGATGGAGCTGGACTCGATCACCATGGTAGCGCACCTCTCCGAGGAACGCGCTCGCCTGTTGCTGAACTGTCTGAGGGAGCTCGACAGCAAACTAGTGGTCCCACTGAAGTTCTTTCAGAGGCTCCTGGGGCATATGGAGGACGGACAGTACGGCGGCGGCGGCGTATATCAACCGCATGGGGGGTATGCGCTCTCGCCGCATGTCTCAGCTCGCCCGCCGTCTGCTCCTCTGGAGTCACCCGCGGCTGAAATCGCTGCGCGCCATTCACGTCCCAGGCACGCTCAATCGTGCAGCCGATGCGCTCTCACGACAGCTGTTACGCCCTGGAGAATGGAGACTCCACCCCGAGTCTGTTCAGCTGATATGGGCGCGATTCGGGGAGGCCCAGATCGATCTGTTTGCTTCCCCCGAGAACGCTCACTGCCAGTTGTTTTTTTCCCTGACCGAGGGCTCTCTCGGCACGGATGCACTGGCCCACAGCTGGCCTCGGGGCATGCGCAAGTATGCGTTTCCCCCAGTGAGCCTGCTCGCGCAGTTTCTGTGCAAGGTCAGGGAGGACGAGGAACAGGTTCTGCTAGTTGCGCCCCTTTGGCCCAACCGGACCTGGATATCAGAGCTCTCACTCCTCGCGACGGCCCTCCCCTGGCGGATCCCTTTGAGAGAGGACCTACTCTCTCAGGGACAGGGCACCATCTGGCACCCTCGCCCCGATCTTTGGAACCTCCACGTGTGGTCCCTAGACGCGAGGAAGACTTAGGTAACCTACCGACTGCGGTGGTTAATACCATCACTCAGGCTAGAGCCCCCTCCACGAGGCGCGCCTACGCCCTGAAGTGGAGTCTATTCACTGAATGGTGCGTCTCTCGCAGAGAAGACCCCCGAAATTGCCAGATTAGTGTTGTGCTCTCTTTCCTTCAAGAGAAGTTGGACAGCAGGCTGTCGCCCTCCACTCTCAAGGTTTACGTGGCCGCCATCTCCGCTTATCATAGCGCGGTAGCTGGCGGCACCGTGGGAAAGCATAACCTGGTCATCCAGTTCCTTAGGGGTGCTAGGCGAATTAATCCATCTCGCCCCCCTCTCATGCCCTCTTGGGATCTCGCCCTCGTTCTCACGAGTCTGCGATCCGATCCCTTTGAGCCACTCGAATCAGTATCTCTAAGATTTCTGTCCCTGAAGACAGCTCTGCTGGTTGCGTTGGCCTCCATCAAGAGGGTCGGGGACCTGGAGGCATTTTCGGTCAGTGACTCGTGCCTGGAATTCGGGCCGGATTACTCTCACGTTATCCTGAGACCCCGCCCCGGTTATGTGCCCAAGGTTCCTACCACCCCCTTTAGAGATCAGGTAGTGAACCTGCAAGCGCTGCCCCCGGAGGAGGCAGACCCAGCCCTTTCTTTACTTTGTCCAGTTCGCGCTCTGCGCATTTATGTGGACCGTACTCAGAATTTTAGATCATCTGAGCAGCTCTTTGTCTGTTATGGCGGTCGGCAGCAGGGAAGTGCCGTATCGAA